TACTTCACCTAAAATATATCTTGTCGATGTATTTGATGGTGTTGATGCTGCTTCTTTTAATGTTGCACGGATGATCCCAACTTCAGTCTAAATGCTGTCGCCAGAATGACTGTGATATCCTAGTTCTTTTATTACATTTTCACCGATCGTAACAACAGTCGATTTACATCGAAATTTCCTAAACTGACGGCAGCGCCAATGAGTAGCATCTGAAACCCGATTATTTCGCTTACAATATTCATGGCCTTCGTAAATCAGTAAGTCGTTTCCTCTTGTGGTCTTGGAAAATGTAGGCGCCATGTTTCCAACTTATTTTCGCAAAGGGACTTGTCATATTCGCAGCTGCAACGTCCTGAAGAAACAGTTTGGAATTGTCTGCGAGGGAAAAAGGGTATTGATGCGAGGAAAAACTTTGCGCGGGATCGAACTATCTGCGGAGGAAAAAGGGCATTGATGCGAGGAAAAACTTTGCGCGGGATCGAACTATCTGCGGAGGAAAAAGGGCATTGATGCGAGGAAAAACTTTGCGCGGGATCGAACTAACACATCAATTAAAATCCTTTCTCGCGCTCTTCAAGAGTCGTCGACCGTTCAAAACACAAATCATACTTCCCAATTTTGGCTCGCATTCTACAGCGGAACATTTTGTCCATTGAGTCTTATGATATCGACAATTGCGATGACAATGACAGACGGAGTATAATATAAATATATAATATATATAATTTAAATATATAGAAAATAGTTGTAATAAAGCCCTCGAGTATTTAATCGAGAATTCCATGGTGTTTTCGCAACGTATGCATTTGGAGAAAGAATCCTAAGTGTACCTTCCAATCCTATATACTATAGTATATAGAATGGAAAGATAAGGGTGTATATGTAAAGACGCTAATATCCGTAAATGCAAATGCCCATGGGTGTAGATGTTCATGGGTGCAAATGTCTGTGGGTACAATTGTACGCGGGTGTAAATGTATGTAGGTTCAAATGTACGCGGGTTCAAATGTACGTGGGTTCAAATGTCCGCGGGTGCAAATGTTCGTGGGTTCAAATGTACATGGGTTCAAATGTCCGCGGGTGCAAATGTACATGGGTTCAAATGTACGCGGGTGCAAACGTACACGGGTTCAAATGTCCGCGGGTCCAAATGTACATGGGTTCAAATGTACGCGGGTGCAAACGTACACGGGTTCAAATGTCCGCGGGTTCGATCTATATGCGGGTGGTAAAATCCATGGGTGGAGATGTATGGGTTCAAATGTCCGTAGGTGCAAATGTCCATAGGTGCAATAGTATACAGGTGCAATTGTCCTGGGTTCAAATTACGGGTTCAGATGTACGGGTTCAAATGTACGTAGGTTCAAATGTGCTGTCACCATAATATATATACATCAGAATAAAATTTGGACATATAGCACCCTCGAATAATGATACCACATACTATAAATGGGAGAAATAGTCAACTTTATAGGAGAATGTGCATATATGGTATGTACCACTCAAGGGTGAGTGTCTTAAGTAATAAATGGCTAATCTAGCAAAAATGCGTTCCTTCCAGGCTTGGGGAAATGCAATGTAATAAGTTCTGTCAAGTTATACGCTTTTTTAAGGTACTTTGTATTTTATAGTTCTGAATACCGCTAAAAAAGATCAGGATTCAAAAAAAGGATATTCAGGTTGCATTTCCATAAAACCTATCATGATCGCATTTCAGCCAGACAATTCAAAGGTATAAAAGTATATTGAAATAGAGAACAATAAATTATAAAGAATATCATTTTGCCATGTCATGGAATTTCCAAATTGAATTAAAATAATAATAAAATATGATATCCTGTGATGAAGAAAGGGTTAGGATTGTTCGATTTAGTGCTGATAATAAAATAAAAACAATAATATAATTGAATAATATGATATCCTAGAATAAAGAAAGGATTGAGAGTGTTTAATTTGGTGCTGGGCGAGAATAATGGAATGAAGTTAAATAAAGCAGCATGCTACTTAACAGTGATCATTGTCCCTATTGTTTGCTACATTTAAATTTAAATTTTGTTTCTTTATCTGATTATTTAAGCATGGTGATGAAATTAGAATGGTGTGCTAGTTATTGAATCAGTCCATTGTTTCATGTTGAATCCGGGTGAAGTATCCTGTGGAGTTATTGAAGTTGCCATCTGTTCTATGGCGACTGAAGATTTCGACCGGTTCCTGATAGTTGTCCAATCAAAATCATGTAAGGTTCTCCTTTTCAGTGTTGAATTCACCTTAAAAACGACCTTAACCTAACGACTTGTAAACGATACACGGGGAAATTTACGCATTACATCCAGCATCAAAATCTGTTCGATTAAAACACACAATACACAGTGTTATTGCCGTTTTAATTGCATAAAGATATGAAAAATACGAATAGCAAAAATAAGGATTTCTAAAACAGAATGATGGAACATATCGATGAATGCATTGTTTAGCGCCATTGCTGAGATTTATTGTGCCATATTTTCTTCTTCCGATAGATTAATACTATCCAATATTTCATCTGGACAAAGCTTTTGTTTAAAATCCATAGTAAATATAGCGATATCAGGAATGTAACGTATATGCAGTAATTTCGAAAATCTAATGAGACCGCAAAATGTAAAACACAGACTGGTGCCACCATGTCTTCCGTGTACCCGTTATCAGTTTTTTTTTCTATTCAATCTTCATGATATCCAACGGTGAATAATTAGCCTTGATGTTGCCGGGGGAACCTCATAAATGCACGAGGATCAAATATTCCGTTTTGGCCATTCATTTTCGTCCCATATCCAAATAGTAAACGTATATAAAATAGCCTTTATATTCTAGCAATTTTACTATGTTCGATCAAAATTCGTCTGAAAGGGTTTTTATCTGCGGCCGAGGGTATGATACTGATGCAATGATGACACAATCTGAACTCAAGCTGTGAACGACCAGATGTGCAATTGCGCAATATACCTCACGCAAAGAGTTACGCATGAAACGTCGCATGAACGTTTTCACGACAATGTCGTCGTCGCCCTTTGCGTCGTTACGCAAACTTGGCGTCAAAATAGTTGATCAATTTTGTTCGCAAACCATTTGAATCGATAGTACAAATTCTGCAATAAAATGAGTTATGCGTATGTTAAGAAAGTCATCCGTATATTCTCCGAAAGGTAATTTTGTATATACCTTTCAAAATTTTACTTTTATTGATGATACATTTCTAAAAAATGTATTAAATATTACCAAAATACAAAAAAATAGTAGATGGGGCTAAAAATAGGCTTACACATCTCATCAAAACATCTCGTGAAAAATAATGCCAGTTAAAAATAAAAGACTAGATAAGCTTTTATATGACATATTACAGATCATCTGATATCTAATGGTTAAGAAGTTATTTTGATTTGAAATTAAGGATATTACAATTTTTTAACGCGTCAAATCGATGCGACGCCGTGGGAGGACAGGGTGAGAGAGTAGCATCGTTCTGGGGATTCAGAGTTAATCAGAGGTGCGGTGGCGAGCGTATTCCTAACGCTTAGCACGATGCGCTACACCGCCGAGCCAGCAGTTACGTGAACCACCCTAACCGCGGTGAGGAGTCCAGCAATCCTCTCGCACATAACTGTCCCCGCATGCGATTCGATATATATATACCGTATTTCCCGACGAATAAGTCTACCCGGCGAATAAGACGAGGCCCGTTTTCAGGCCTGAAAAAAATGGGTTAATTCATAATAACCGGCCAATACGTAGGGGTAGTAAAATCGCATCAACATCGGGATCTTAAATTACCCTGCAATGCCTTTTGAGCGGTCGCCGCTTTTGCGCATTGGGTAAAATAGCCTATGATGACTTTTCTTGTAGCCTAATATTCAATCCATAACAACTACGGGAATTCAAACTGTCTTTCAATTTCAATCTAATTATGTTCAACTCGCGATTGCGTCCGCCATACAAGAACATTACCGATCTAATATAACACGACAATCTGCGGACTGCATCTGCGTCTGGCTCTGTCGGTAATTGTAGAACAAAAAATGTTTTTATGATTTGCAGTGCATAAAAATCCTCTGTAATCTGTCACGGGCCATTCCAAAATAAAATTTAAATGGTGTTTCCGTTTTATTTTTAGTATTTTATAATGCAGCTTTTAAATCAAGAAAATTTGAGATATGTATTCACTTCTTATTTATCTTAGCCTGCTGTCACACATGATAATGTAATAAAGAAAATTTGGTTCACATATTCACTCCTTTATTTATCTTAGCATCTTGTCACACATGATTATGTGATATTTCGTATCTCACAACACACAAGTAACATGGTTGCTTGAGAGCAATTAAGTAATTATCGTTGTCCTCGCTGCAAATTTCTGACTTAGGGAGAATAAATGCTGAAATGAAAGATGTTTACGGCTCAAATAAGACATCACGATGACAAAAACAATTGACGATTTCCACAAATTGCAAGCCCACGTGTATCGGTAATAGCAACACAAATGCAGCAACTTCAAATATTATAATCACAGCATTGAAATTCCAGATTCACATCGAGAGAATGTCGATTTATTTAAACTAACCTGATGCGGGGGATATGCTAATGCCTATCGCCGAAGATATTTTATTGTCCGGATTTAATAATAAGGCGACACCGAAAAAATGAAAATTATCATACTCGCCTAATAAGACGACCCCCCACCCAAAAAAAATCAGGCCAAAAATTTGGGTCTAGTAAAGCGACTTATTCGCCGGGAAAGACGGTATATATATTTGTGAATAGAACCAGCATAGCCTACTGTTCAGAATCAGAACCAGAACGCGTCAATTGCCCTTCAACCTAATGCAAATTTACGCCTACGAGTTCATAGTGAGTTATCAGCGCATCATCCTTTTCATCACAAATTATCAAGTTTAATTAGAAGTCGTCATTGCGAATGCTCTTGTTCCCCTCAGGCCAAACGCGTGCTTTGTGTTTTCATTTTATTCGACGTCGATTATTGCGTTTAGTGTATCAGTTCTAGCAGTCACAGCTTTGCGACAGGTCAGCCGACATGAAGACGACGCCAGGACTCCCCGAGTTCATTTTTATAGCTGCCATTGTCATAGAAACAACGTTTTTTACGTTTTCTGAAGGTTTGTCTTGTTTCGTTTTTAAGGTATCTCTTATCTTTCACATTGTATGTACAATAAGAGAAATCTGAGATGTTAATTTTTGTAATGTTTTCGTAATACGCGTTTGTTTTAAATGAAAGTAAGTTACAAAAATAGGACCTCCTGAAGTATGCGCGCAACCTGAACTCAGGTTGTGTAACAGGTTAGGATTCTGTTGTGCGACATCTTGGTGCGCATACTTCAGGAGTACCCAAAAATATATATATATAAAATAATAAGTCATTTGTTTTGTCTTTTCAATGTAGGTGTTTCGGCCAAATGTACAACACACGATCCAGGACGCTATGCATTCTCTGACTGCTCAAATGAAATGTATCATAAATCAATTTGTGAAACAAAATGTAAACCAGGATACAAATTAAAAGGGCCATCGCGCATGATGTGTTGGTGTAAAAATAGAAATTGCAAGTGGACAGGAAAAAGAGCTTCTTGTGAACGTAAGTGGTTACTGGACATTAATAGGAAAGATAAACGACTTACAGAATGTGACTCATTTAATCAAAAAATAATCTAAGTAATTTTTGTTTGCACTTGGAAAGATTATCATTTTCTTGAATTGTTTAGTTTAATTTAATGGAAGGAAAACGATTTTTATATTTTGTTATAAACGTTAATTAAGAACGCATTTGGCGCATTTTTTCAAGTTACTTTTAAAGTTATATATATATAGCTGATTTCTCAACTAATGATATATAATACCACATCTAATCAGATAAGTTTGTCTGCGTAGAATTGCTCAAAAAGCGACTCAATTTCAAATAAATTCTCCGTCGTATACCAAGATCCCCCATTGCTCAGGTTAAATTGAGAAGCTGTATTTGAGTACAGTACATAGATTGTGTCCAGTACATTTATTGTGTCCAGTTACTGAGTTCGGGAGGTCATAAAAAGGACCGTAATCTATTCAATTCTACTTCAACGTGTTTTATCATGTAATAACGGATTATCATTACACAAGTGGCCACGGAACTTGTTTTTCCACAATTCGACTTTATCGCCGCGTCACTTTCAATTCCCAAAATGAAATAAGTATCAATCGTGTGGTGTTGCGGTGAGTTTTTTTAAGAAGTCAATGAACACTGATTGACGTCGTTCGACTGTTAGAGTTAATTTATCATTTGGATTACGTTCAAGGAAAAATTTTCTCAAAATAGAAACGCGTGACAACCTTTTCATTTTCTTTTTATTCACGTTTTTGTTTTATTTTTTCAATTTCTTTTTTTGCTTTTTTTTATTCCGTTTTTATTTTATTTTCGTTTTTCTTTTTTTGCATTTTTTTTTTTGCATTTTATTTTTAATTTTTTTTATGTTTTTTCACAACTATTTTTTGTTTTACTTTTATTTTAAGTTTTTTATTTTATTTTTTATTATTTTTTTTCCCAATTTTACGCGTGACAACGATGGGCCACCATACATAAGCACAAAAGTATATAAATGCAATTTCATTACTTGGAGGAATTTGGCGCTAACCTTATTTGTTATAGTTAGAATTTTTGTTTGTTGTCTCTTTCTCAGGAACGGCATGTCAAGTTCCTGATGATGATACGGGATTCATGAATTTTATTGATATTTGGGATGATGGATTTGCTAGTTTAATACAATTCAACAATATTTCTTCAACTCCAGATTCTGAATTTGGTTGGTCGGTTGTTGTCATATTTGATAAACCACTTGGAGAGGTATATATGTTCTAGCGTCATTTAATGAATTTTAGTTTAGAGGACATCAAATTTGCTAATGCACTTCCGGTTTCTAATCAACCATCTACAATGCTCTTAATATGATATGACATAGATATGCTTTGATAGAAATTGGCAGAAAATAAATATAATAAGTAATAGGAACATTAGAGGCATTTGATACAATGAATTTTCATGACTTTTCAAATCTAGCGGAAGTAAAAGTTGATATATTTTTATTGACATTCTCAGAGGTAACAGACAGAATAACGATAGAGCGAGAACACTGATGCATTACAAATTTTTAACGGACGATGCTTTACTTACATTTAGAAGTCAGTTATAGATAGGCAAATTTTAGTGTTGCATCCTCTTAAAAAAATTTACTGTTTTCAAACAACCATTTTTCTCAATGATTTCCTCTCTCATTTTGCAGACAGCGACCGTGATGACATGGAATTTCGAGCAGACATCTGCGTCATATGACGGTCAAGCATTCACTTTTGTAAACGCGAAACATAATACTAAGCTATCAAGCTTTGTCACAAAAGATAATCGTTTGTCAGCTCTTATCGTTGTACAAAAAGTGATAGGCAACATCCCCAAAGCAGGTCAGTAAAGATTTTTTCATTAGAATGTGATGCATCACTTATATTACTATAGAAACACAAGACAAGACGTATCAAGTTTTAATGAGGTCCAAAATTTTCAGATGTAAGCATAACGCTAATTTAGTGCCTTAAAATCAAAAACTCTTTGATACGTCAGTAATGAAGGTATTGAGCATCGGTTAGTTAAAAAACATATTTTAAATGCTGCACTATTATCGAAAAGTCCATAGTTTATATAATAATAGAATTTCATTGGCTAAATAAATATTTTCTTCGACAATTTTTCTACCCAACACAGCCTGCAGAATGCATCGTTAGAGCCTCTTGCAGACTTCAGTGGCTTTGACAAAGTCCGGCAACGTGTGTATAGAAAGCCTTTGACTTAATGTTTTAGCCATTGTTTTAATATTTATATTTATTTATGAAAGGAGAATAAAGAATGTTGCAATATCTACTGTATCGATTTTTGAGAAAAAATTAATTTACGCTTTGCGTGTTTCTGGTTCTATATGACAACTACTACCCATTTACTCCCTCTTATGAATTTTTCTTAATTAATTGGCAGCCTACGTTGGAATGTATCAGAAACGAGTGAAAGATGCAACTTGCCTCGCTGCGTCAAAAATGCCGCAAATACAGCGAATCGATAGTGCAATAGCTTATAATAAACCTGTAAAAATAGAACAGTCAACAGCAACCAAGTCAGTCGTCTCCACCAAGCATACTCCACTGTCAACACCAAATGCAATCGAGAAATCTACAACCGCCAAGCCAAATTTTGAAGTAACATCCAAAACTACTCAAAAACCCGAAAATCAAATGACGAAGGCGGCTATTATTGCCACCACTGAAGAAACTACACATGTCAGCTCGGCCTTAACGTCTAAAACTACTCAATCGACGAATGTTCCTGTTATCACCACAGTTAAAATTCCTGTTGGGGATTTTTGCGTTTGTAAGTATTTTGTGTGATATAAACGTATGCAATCAACATTAATGATATGAACCTTGCGCGGTTTGCAGATAAATATTTCAAAGATCACGGGCAAGGCTGCTAAACCTAGTTGTCTGTTCTCTAATCTAATGAATTCTTTTCTGCAACTTGAGTAGCCTATAACTCTTATCGTGTCACTGGTGCTTGAAAAGTTTGTAGAAGTACTATTTGCGCCTTCGTTTTAAGACAATGGACATTTTTGATCTTGTTTAAGCTATTATAGGCCTATAAGCTATTCGAATTAATAATTACCATTCGAAATATTCTGTTAATTTCATCATATTTTTTTTTTCAGTACAAACTCACGATACCTGTTACATCACCGACGATAGTTGGGAAGACGGTGGGAAAAACTACTTCAGTGGAAACGTTGCTCTTCGATCTCCTAGCGATTTAGATGACTGGTCTATGGTGGTTGTTTTCGAGGAGGTTGTGGATAAAATTGAGGTTAGCGTTACACTTAACTAACAATGGCCAATTAAAAATGCGTTAAAATAGTTAGTTTGACAACAAATACTCTTTTAATTGATGCGATTCGAATCTTACTTATTCAGACCTGGGCATGTCGTGTTCTAGATAATTCTGAAGATGGTTTCATTTGGACCTTTGGGCCACATCCATGGAATACAAAGTTATATGGGGGAGAAAGCGATATCAGATTTATTGCTACACAGGCGTATTTCACGGTTGATAATCCAAACGGTATGTTTATTGGTTAATTGGTTATATATATATATACATATAATGTATACTCCCCATTGTTTCACCGAATTGTAATCCATTCATCTGAGGATTAATACTCACTTAAGATGAGACTTAAGATCATTGTGGCCCCCTTCTGGAGGATTTTAACACTCATGGCCCCCTTGTGCATCATTCCAGTGGTAATTAGAGAGTTACTTCGATTGATAGATTCCTAATACCATTGTGTTCAAACACTTTTATGCTCAACAAAGTGAAAATACCCTGTGAAATAACCTTATCAAGTAATGGACCTAAGAAGAACGAAGAGTTTTATGTGAAATCCTCGTGGTGAGCCACGGGCCCAAGGTTGGGAACCACTGTTTTAGAAGTTGCGCGTGGCTGTGACTTTCCATGGCTTTTTGCGATTTCCATGCTACATACAACCTTATTCGAAGCGACTTCTAATAAAAAAAAAACATGAATGAATAAAAAATTGGGGGTGCGGAAGTGACTCGTATTTGACTATAATTATAAGTGATAGACTATAATTTCTTTCTCATTTTTATTCAGTGTTTCTGCCGTTGTTACCCACAAAAAATAACCTTCTGACACCCGTGTTTATTTTTGGCTCAAGAGAGATGGTTATCCTGCATATTTGTAACTTTGTAACGCACATATGAATTTTGTTTCTGTATTTATAGCCCAAGTTTACCTCTGTTCAAACACGTTTACATCTGGCGATGCTGTGATGTCAAGTCCCAACAAAAAGCCTGCTGCAGAAGTTCATATGGAAGAAACTACGCGTAGTCCATTTATAACACGTAAGAAACTAGTCAACTTATTACTCTTCTGCTCTTTTTGCTGTAGCCTAACTGATATGGCTACCATTAGTTGTCTATTCTTTTAGTTGACAAATGTAAAAATAACGGTCGATTGTCACCAAATTGGATCTGTAACCAAAGGTGTCCTTATCGCTCATCTGAGACGACACGTGAAAACCATTATCTGCAGAATGAGCTTCTAAATCACTTTTTTATAATTACGTGAATAATGCTGCATTAATAATGCTTTACTTTCTAATTATAGTTTCTTCGATGACGACAACTACCGAGACGACTGCAGCAACACGTCCATCAGCAAGATGCTCTCCCAGTTCTCCAAATGGTCGCCCGGTTAAGAGGGCAGAGCAAATTAGACTGAATTTCAAAGAAAACAATGGTAATGCATCAACTCGCGGTGTAAAATATTATACCCTCGTTTGAAAGATGATATTTAAAGTATATTTATATAATATATATATGTCTGTCATACGCATTTAAACGGGGTAGGCTGTATATATATGTGTTATTTGAATGTGAATCACCGCACATCGCTTTAAAGGCGAGTGGCTCCGGGTGATCATTGGCCTTAGTTGGGCTTAATAGTGCAGGCTTCAAGTAAATTTTATTCAATATGCATGTCTTCGATTTTGCTGACAAAGAAACTGACTCACTGTTTTAGCCCCATATCATCAGTTTTTGCCTTTATTATTTTTGCCAGATGAAACAAAGTACAATTACAACGAGCTCCTTCACAAGTCGATATTGTTTTACGAAGCACAGCGATCTGGTGAGCTTCCAGATAGAAACAGAATACCGTGGCGTGGCGATTCAGCCCTGAAAGATGGATGCGATATTGGTGTAGATCTTACTGGTGGATGGTATGATGGTAAGTAGAAGTAATATCAATGGTTCATCAGATAGATACTTTGCGAAGAAAATGTTCAAGAATTTGAGGCCGAACAAAAATATATGATACTTTTAATACTGTATTCGTATGACTTTTGCATGCAATTTTCTCTCTCGGTTCTGGACCAGCTTGAATATTTGCGGTTGATTACAATATGGCTGAGATCATTTTAATAAACCCAATAATGATTTTACGTCATCGTGAGATAAAAACAAAGACAAAATTTAAATGGCGCTATGTTAGATTTCTTGTCACTCGGATGATCAAAATCATATATTACCATAAAAACTTTATGACCTTAAACAGAAAGATAGTTCGTACATAGTTAAATTAAATACTCTGCTTAACCCGATGCTCTAGCAGGAAGATGGATAATTATATAAAAAACACATATATATTCCGTATATATTAGCTGGTGACTACGTGAAGTTCAACTTTCCAATGGCATACTCGTTGACTGTGCTGGCATGGGGAGGAATAGAATTTCGAGACGCATACGAAGATGCCGGAGAACTGGAGAATATGATCAACGCAATATTATGGCCAACCAAATACTTTATTAAAACTCATATCTCAAAATATGAATTGGTCGGACAGGTAAAGAGCAATATCTCTAAACTTCGTCAATATTTAAATAGCGACAATTTCAAAATATTTCACTCAGCTTATGGAAAATGAATTCTAGATTACTGAAACTGAAAGTATTAGAAAATTTATGGGTTCGGTTTTTATGTCATCTCGTATATTTATCATTCAACCACAAAAAATCCGTTTACCCGAATAGTTCTAGAATAAACCTTGATAACATCTCTTTTTCTTAGATAGGACACGGACAGACAGACCATAATTATTGGGGAAGATCTGAACAAATGAACATAAAAAGACCAACATACATCATTTCGGATAAAAACCCTGGCACCGAACTTGCTGCTGAAGTGGCAGCGGGTCTCGCAGCAGCCTCTGTATTTTTACGACCAACTCATCCCGACATTTCCAATGAAGCCTTACAACACTCCAAAGAAATTTATGAATTTGGTAACAAGTATCGGTAGGTTCACTAGTTATGATTAGTTGTTTGAACAACATTTAATCCATTGGGATACATAGTTGGCGTATTTATTTTCTTCACATTACTATTTACGCGAATGCAAAATAATTAAATATTTTTACAGAGGAACTTATCATTTGTCTATACCCGACGTTTCAAGATATTATAAATCATATTCCGGATATCAGGATGAATTAGTATGGGCAGCAGCTTGGTTATATAAGGCTACAAATGATACCAGTTATCTCCATGCAGCAATTAAATTTCATGACAGAATGGGAGGGAAACATGCGACGGCTCCAATGTTTTCGTGGGATAACAAACTTCCTGGAGCGCAGGTAACACTTTTAGATTGGTATTGAAAATACGGTATTTGACATTTTTTTTATAAACGATGCCTGTAAAATGTTACAATGATGATGACTGTTGTGTGATGCTATTTGGTACGAAACATTTACCGAAAACATATTGTAATTTTGTTTCAATAATTCTTTCATTCAGGCTTTGTTAGCGAAACTTACTGGAAAAGCAGATTTTAGAATCCCACTTTCAAAGCATTTAGAAAAGATGCAAAGAGAGAAACGAACGCCACAGGGACTAGTATATTTATCCGAATGGGGAACTAATAGACATGCCGGTATGTTTCCATTTACGTTAAACAAACAATGCTTCAGAAGGTTATTCCTTGAAAACTCTTTTAATATTTCGAATAATATTCACGTTTGGTTCAATAAGTTTTGGTGGTTTGAACAAGATATAAGAATGATATGTTATTTTGCAGCAAATGAGGCTCTATTGGCAATAATGGGCGCAAACCTGGACCCTCCACTTCCTCGTCATAAGACATATCTCAATTGGGCAAAAAAGCAAATAGGATTGATACTGGGTGACGATGGAAGAAGTTATGTCGTAGGATTCGGAGTAAATCCACCTAAGAGGGCTCATCATTCGTCCAGGTAGGATATGTTAAAAAAAAACGCATGATCTACGACAAACCGAATTTTATGATCGTGGCATTCTGGAAATCATTATTTGTGTTTGTGTGATATTACGAGCAGATTTGACACCAAATGATGCGGCATATTTTAACAGGCAGTTGAAACTGACTGCCATCAACGTTTTTTACACAACCTCCAGCAAAATAATATTAATAGTTTCAATCGATGATGGAAACCAGTGACTTATTGTTGCACAATATTATTTTCACTGACTTTTATCCGTATCTAAATCACGCCATCCTAATCATTTCGACATTGAAAAGGAAAATGCAGAGGTGGACAGGTGCTAATCTATTTTTTATTTTTTTTTGCTTATTAGTAACTGCCCGCCATATCCTGAAAGATGTGACTGGACGACGTATCATTCTCCAAAACCTAATCACTATGTTTTGTATGGCGCAATCGTCGGCGGTCCAAATGAGAAAGGCGTGTACGGTGATAATAGAGGAGTTTATGAAGAGACTGAAGTTGCGTGTGATTACAATGCCGGCTATCAGTCAGCAATAGCAGGTATGTATTAAACTATTTTATGATAGAAGAAAGATACGTGTGCGTATCGATTTTACACAATATTCAACTGATTCCCGTCGTTTACTTGTGCGGTTGGGATGGTGGACACGAGAAATAAACCATATTTCACTATCATGTATTTATTACTTTACCAAGTATATATATATAATACATAAAGGTATTCACAGCGCTTTATTCCACCCGCTGCTTCACATTGTTTATCTGAAGCGAAATATAGTTATTACCTTTTAATGTATAGGCTATATAACTATTCAGCGTGCATAGCTATTTTCAGCTGATTGTATATATTTGTCATATTATATTCATAGGATTGAAACATTTTGCGATGAAAAATCGACTGCTATCAACAACGGAGCCACCAACGACTGCAGAAGCAACGAGCAAGCTTTCTACCCCCGAGTTGAAATTAAAATCCTCAAAGATCAAAATAGTACTTTCTAAGAATTTGAACAAAAAACAACAATGCCGCCCTCGGCGTAGCAAAAAATGCATCAAGGCCAGATGGGCTGCGCGAAAATTGCAGTAATAACTGCAGGACATTAGTCTTAACATTAATTTTGTCACTGAACGATCGAATTCTTGTCATTTCCGTACGTTAGCGTGACATTCAAAACAATAGTAATTGTTGATAAAAGTTTTATATGGAAATGTGTTTAATTATGTCTTGAAATTTATGAAAATACAAAAATATTTATTATTATATATACGAAAGTAGTCATACTCTGTCGGTCGGAGCTGTCATCAGTTTTTTTACAGAGCAAAGAAAAGATGTCACTTTTTCATGTTAGTGTCAACTTTTAGCCCAGGAAGATAATATGTATATTTTGAGGGGAAAAGAACTTTCTATTTCACTTAATTTCTTATATCCTGTGTGTAGCGGTAAACCTGAATTTCCTAACATGAATTGATATCTCTAACCTGGGTTAATTCAAGCAGTGTTTGTTAGTCTATCGGGAAGCCGTCTATGAACCGTGAAACTGTCCAATATTATCTTATTCTGATGCTTTTATTGTGTCTAGGTCAGCGGTGGGCAACCTTTTTCGACTCGCGTGTCAAAATCGGCTAAATTTAGCAACAAGATTCTTCCGCGTGCCAATTAAATCAAAAACAATTCTTTGTTACTTTCAAAGCAAAGATACACAATATATACCAAACCTTTTAAATATGTGCAGACAGATTCACTTCACAGGTCGCGGCGGTGTGGCTCAACGGGTTAAGCGTTAGGAATACGCTCGCCACCGCACCTCTAATTACTCTGTGTGGGTTCGCAGGTTCGATTCCCATGCAGGGATGGTTATGTGCGAGAGGATTGCTGGACTCCTCGCCGTCGTTGGGTGGTTCACGTAACCGCTGGTCGCTTACGGCTTCCTCCACCACCAAGTCCATGCTTCCGAAAACAAACAATACAGTATAACTAACTATCCCATACCCGACTTGGAATGGTAACCGGACGAGAGGCCGTGGTTCGCCATATGGATACGCCGTCTTATCGGCTTTCCTATCCCCCGGGATAAATATGTAAATTCTATCCTATTCTATCCACTATTCGGAAAAATATGAGTTCGACAAATATGTATTTGATTACTTTTCTTATTCTATATAAGCGAGACTTCTGCTGCTGCATTGGCGCTGATAAAGATTTTACATTAGGTTTATATTTTGTAACTTTCGAAAAAACACACGATTTACCGATTCCATCTTTTGGGCTACTATTACGAGACTTCATAAAGTTCATAACTGATAGCCGAGATTCACAAGCATATGTAGATGAAAACGTGGAGGGTAGGGCTAGGAATTTCAGGGAAAACACTTTAACCGTAGACCGGGTAAAATTAACCGGTTAACCGCAGCTTAACGTTCCATGCAATAATTTGTAATTTATTCTTGTTACGTCACAATGGTTCCAAAGTTCTTCGCGTGATTTTATTTCGGTATTGCTCGAACTTCCTCACGAATCGAGGTAGTTTCATGATCGCTCTACTGGTTCGGACCCATGGAAGTAGGTATTAAAACCCGATCCCGTCATTAAATGTCATTTATGTTTCAAATTTTCAGTGCTCGATGTGCAGATTCTGCTTTGAGATATATATCATAAAGAAAAACTGATTCTGAATTCATCATTGTCGATTTTCATAATCGGCAATCTTGATACTTCAATTATTTTTTACAATTATTGTGTCCTCATAGATACAGTTAGTGATATTTTTCTGAATTAAACGCCACAGGAGATAAATTTGAGATGACGTAATCATTTTTGAAGTCGAATAACCATTTCCAGCCCTACTGGAGGGTAATGCAGTTGCAAAGTTTTTAGGAGATGGAAAAATTTTCAGGACTGACATCCCAATCACGCAATAGTTCGTTTTTTGCACTCCTTTCTTGTATTCCCTTCCCTAATCGCTTATATTTTTTTCGAAATTAATTTTTAACCGTAAATTAGCAAGTAACTCTAACCAACATGGTATTCACAACTTCAAAGCATAATTGAAGGAAAGGATGACACAGACGAACAATATTTAGCCTATGTAAGAATGTAGCCATATGAACTTTGTTACTTCGTAATGTATTTTTGTAGCCATATGTCATGAAAGGACAACAAGGGTTTAAATAAATACCGTTTTGTTAAACGATAATGAATAAACGAACACCGAGTTTCATCAGATAATTCAGAGTCTTGAAACCTTTTATCAGAAGGAGAGTGAACGCGTTTCCGAGGACTCGCTCGCGTGCCGAATAAATGGGCTCGCTTGCCTAGTTCCGCACTCGTGCCAGGGGTGCCCACCCCTGGTCTAGGTGTTGTCCGCCCGTGTGTAGGCTATTATAATCTTGGATTTAGCTCAGAGTAGGTACGATTGAATAGTTCAACACTCGATTGATTTCTCGTTCAATGTTCATCTGAAACACCCAATCTGCTACGAATAGAGAGATTACGGAGTGATAAAATTTGATTGTTAAGATTTTTTGTAATGTCGTTGGCGCCATCATTGATGACTCTGAAAACATCGTAAGTTGTTGCAACTATTTTTGTTGTTTCAGTTTATAATATGTATTCAATAATACTCACTTGTTCAATAAAATTTTTACTTATATTGCTGGTTCAAATGGTCGTAGTTGTCCAAAACGAACGCTAGTTTAAGCATGAAATTCTCGGCCCGATCATAAGTCGATAATTGAATTTCACGAAATTGTGAATAATCGTATCCGTTAAGGTTTACATGGACCTGTAACGCTGAAAATCTTTAGTAAAGAACGCTTTATGTTAACTTCTTTTTAATATTTTGCTGGCGGGTGCATTTTTTAATTTTACCGGTCCGCAATGATACCAATGTGAACTGATCTGCCAGTTTCAATTTTGTATCCTATTCTCTGGTATTTAGAACATAATACATCTAAAAGTTCAGATGGGGAAGAGGACAAAATCTTTTTTTTAACTTGGCTTCACAGAAGTAAATGGTAAGACAAATTAGCATACTCTTTTAACTAAGGAGATCAAAGCAAATCCATTATTTGTCAGGAATAAAAACAATGGAGGTGACATAAAACAAACATGACAGGCAGTTTGCCGTAATCAAAAACGAACTGAAAATTTGTTAGGGGCAAAGGTATTGTAGGCGAAATTTTTTATGGACCAAAAGTAGAGGAAACATCACGACCACGTGCTATTTAAAAGTATTGATAGCTAATTTTAGAATGATAAAGATACAGAATGATGTAGTAAACGAATCGTCAACCGAGTATAACAATTCAGTAAATGGAGTATTGCGTGAATCTTCCTCTGATCTGGATACACTGATTCGGCAAGTAAAGAAAAAGATGTAGTGATTAAATCATCCACCAAATACGGTAATTCAAGTTATAAAGAAAAACCAATTTATCCTATTGAAACCAACGAGCACAAACCAGATAAAATGAAACCTAATGATGGACAGCACACACAAAATGAAAACACAAGAGAAAAGGAAAAAAAATATGCATAAGGGCGCAAATGTTTGGAAATTTGTCAAATATTAGTATCCATGACAGCCAAGACAAAGATATAGTACAATTGAAGCAAAATGAAGAAACAGATTGTGAAAATTCATACAGCTTTTACAATACTTAAGACAAGAAAATATAAATGTAGAAGATGACAAACAAAAAATGTAGGCTATCTCATAGCCCAGTTAAAAAAACAATCAAAAGAACAAAAACAAGGAGAACAAATAATGAAATTACAACAAAAGAATGAATCAGATGAAAATATGGAAACAAGATAAAATCTTCAAACTATTAAAATATCACATAAAAAGACTGTTATGGCGATATACATAACAATGCTAACTGTAAACGTAAATGAAATACGCGATGATCAGAAAAAAAAATTTCTGGAATTATCCAATCGAAATGCAGACATTATATTTATTCAAGAGACGCGTAGTACTAATGATCCAGAAATAAGTGGAGTAAGGGTTGGAAAGGAAATTCATTATGCAATTCTTATTATTATGGAATTATTATGGAAATCAAAATGCAGACATTATATTTATTCAAGAGACGCGTATAGTACTAATGATCCAGGAAATAATTGGAGTAAGGGTTGGAAAGGAAATTCATTATGAAATTCTGGTCTATCAAATTCTTGTGGTGTAGCAATATTACTGAAATCAAAATTGACGCATCATAAATTTGAAAATATATATTTCATGGGATGGGGAGGGAAGTGTACCTCTTACAGATATAAATACATGTGGGAAATAATACATTTAGTTAATTTACGTATATATGCTCCTTGTAAAAACTGGAACCGGAAAACTTTACAATGGGTGTTTGAATACGTCAAGGTGAATGAAGATTAAATATAAAATAAAACACTGTGTAGTTGAATTCTTCGTAAATGTGTCCAGAGCGGAGAAAAAAAGAGCATAAAAACATATGAAAAATAACAAGAACTTAAAGAAAAGTTGGATAATAGCGAAAGAGTTTTGACCTTGTTAAATGAAAAGAAAAGTGAAATATTCAAGAAAACAAAAAAAAAGATAAAAAACAACTTTTTATCTAGAACACTGCAGAAAAATATGACAATCACAAAAAATGTACTTAATCTTTTCTCAAACAATTGAAAACAGGCATATGAAAACAAAATTTAGAAAATTGAAAGACACAAACGGCGCAATATAATATAATTTGAGGACAAAATGAATATTGGTACAGACTTTTACAAAGAACTATGTAGTAAAGTTGATTGTAATGAGCCGTTACAAAATATATTTTCGAATAGGGTAACAACAACAGGGTGAAAAGTGAAACAAGAAGAAAATGAAATTATATAGAAAAATATAGAAAGAGAAAAAATAATTCAAAGCAATAAAAGCTTTAAAGAAGGAAAAACTCCAGGACCAGATGGCCTGGGAATAGAATTCTAAAAGAATGCCGGGGGATACTAAAAGAAGAGTTCACGATGGTAATAAAAGAAAGATACGAAAAAGAGCACATAACTATTGCTTTGAAAATGGGTTATATAACACCGATACACAAAAAGAGAGCAGGAGATAAAATAAAAAATAAAAACTATAGACCGATACCTTTATTAAATTCAGACTACAAAATTATTACTATCTTTTAGTAAATAAGATTCAAAATTCACTACCTATAGATAAAAACCAAGCTGTAATACCAGGAAGAAGAATGAGTGAAATACTCAGTATTATTAAAGATGTATGTCAACAACAAAAAAACT